TTTAGGTTCCAATCCCAAGTATGCAATTTATTTTTTTAATTATTTATTTCTCATGTATGATGTGTCAAGATGCAATGTATTGCTGGTACGGTCATGATATTATAACAACGGTATTTGGAAAAATTAAAATTAAAAGTTTTTTTCGAATTTTTTTCAGAGTGATTCAATTGGGCAAGCTTTCTATATGTTTAATTGGTACGAATCTAATGTTAAAATACGCAAAAATATTTGTATTTTTTTTAGAAAGGGCCAAAAAACCGGTCATTTTAACAGCCTAGAAATTTGTTACTCTCTCACTGACTACGTTTACAACCGTGAGTATTTTTTAATTTTTTTTTCAGAAACTATGCTTCTGAGTCAATTCCGGTTTTCACCATTCGATAGAAAATTGCTCGTAGAATCCAACAATGTTTTTACGTTTGTTGTAAGACTTGTAGTTTTTGAGAAAAACTCGTTCAAAGTTGTGGAAATATTTTTTGTGTTTTTTTCATTTTTTTTTAGAAATTTTAAATTAATAAACAAAATTAAGCCTAAAGTTACGTTCTTTAACGTAAAACTACATAAAACTAAGGCTATTACAAGTTAAAATGTCCTACGACRARAAGTTTTTGAGTTATCGGCTAATCTGACTATTTTTTTTTAATTAAGATATTTTCTATTTTTTTTTGATATTTTAATTCAATAAGAAAGTAATTGAGCCCAAAACTTATTTTTTTAACGTAGAACTACACAAAAAATAGGCTACTACAAGTTAAAATGTCCTACGACAAAAAGTTTTTGAGTTTTCGGCTAATATTTGAATCTGACTTTTTTTTTCATTTAAGATATTTTCTCATTTTCTTAGATATTTTAATTTAATAAGAAAGAAATTGAGCCTAAAACTTAGTTTTTTTAACATTGAACTACACAAAAAATAGACTACTTCAAGTTAAAATGTCCTACGACATGTAGTTTAAAAGAAAAATTAAGACAGTAAATTTCTAAGTTTTTATCATATATTTATATAAATATTTATCATATTTTATATTATTTGTTGTACAACTTGTAGTTTTCAAGAAAAACTCATTGCAATTTGAGAAAATATTTTTTCGCGTTTTTTATAGAAATGTTAAATAAAAAAAATGAGCCTAAAGTTACGCTCTTTAACGTAAAACTACACAAAAAATACGCTACTACAAGTTAAAATGTCCTACGACAAAAAGTTTTTGAGTTTTCGGGTAATATTTGAAGTTGACTATTTTTTTTTATTTAAGATGTTTTCTAATTTTTTTAGATATTTTAATTCAATAAGAAAGAAATTAAGCCCAAAACTTAGTTTTTTTAACGTAGAACTACACAAAAAATAGACTACTACAAGTTAAAATGTCCTACGACATGTAGTTTAAAAAAAAATTAAGACAGTGAGTTTCTAAGTTTTTATCAGGTTATTAAAAGGCGTCTAGAAACAAAACTATAGCTCCGATTCACTTACGGTTTTTACTATTCGATAGAAAATTGTTTACAGAATCCAGGGATGTTTTTATATTTGTTGTACGACATGTAGTTTTTGATGAAAAAATTATTTAAAATGTTTTTTACATTTTTTTATTTTTTTTTAGATATTCTAAACTAATAACACAAAATTTAACTCAAAATTAAGCTTTCTTAACGTAAAACTTTACAACAACGTAAAACTACAAGTTAAAACGTTCTACGAGAAGTAGTTTTTGAAAAATTGGCCCAAAATATTTCTAGATGTCTTAATTTTTGTGTAATAAATTTTTAAAAAGTGCATGTTTTCTTTCTGCGACACCCTGTATAATTTGTCAAGTTGTCGCCCTGTGTTATTACTTACGACAAGCATCTGGAAACCTGTGAGACAAATAACAACAACACTTGCAGCAAATTGCACAAAAATGCCTTTGTGGAATAAAATTTCAATTTGTGTGATATAACTACAAAAAAAAATTTTTTTTCTCTATTTTTCCAAGATTTTTACTTACGTTAGAAGAACGCTGTGATAAATTACACATTTTTTGATTGCTTTTTGGACCGAAGTATCCAAATTTGTGATATTTTCCAGTCTAGTTTTCAAAATATCGAATTGTGCCGAGCCCAAAGTGATCAAAATCGTGGGCAAAATATCCAGAGTTGAGTTGAGAAAAGCCCCAATTGCGATACCACAAGTCTGGGCAATGACCAACTCGATTTGGTGGGTTTTCACATCGAATGGGAACCATCCTGGTAGTGGTAACATGTGGTCCGGGTCTTCGTCAATAAACGGAAATAAACCGTAAAAAGAAACGGTCAAAATACACAAAATTCGGAAAAGTCTCGCCAAATATTTCACTCGAATCATGTATTTCGCTACGATTTTTTTCTCAAATTGGTTCAAATGGTTCAAAATCGGATTTTTGAGGATGGTTTCGATCCGAATCATGGTTTTATTGTGGTAGAGAAAATTTCCAAGTTTGAATAAAAACGCGGCTTGAGTCATGCAAAATAGCAGAGTTTCGGATAATTTTGTGAGATTGTCGTTTTCGATGAAGAGAACTGTGATCATTGAGAGGAATTCGGTCCAGGAGTAGACAAACATGAATAAGCCCAAAAGAATAAACTTAATTTGTTTGCGACAAGGGTAGAAGCTTCCATAGCGAAGGAAAGTTTTTTCAGTTTCAAAAGTCTGGATTAGAAACTCCTGAAATAGAATTTTATTGTTAAAGTTTGATACGAGTTAAGGACTCACTTCCATGACTGACGAAAGAATATTAATTAAGAGGAAAACCGTTGATTAAATAGCTGGGAGATACTCAAATATTCATTTCTTGAGGCAATTATTTTCTTATTTATTTATTAAAAATTGGAGCTAGAAGGAAAAATCTAATTAGTTTTTGAATAATCCAACAGCTGCACTTAGCTATGAGTATTTAATCAAATTTAAAACTTGTAATTAGCGTTTTTCAGTCTTTTGCTGTATAATTATGACTTAACAACATTAATTTATAATGAAGTTGGGGTTTGAAGATTTTAAAAGTGGCTTCCTTAGTCTCCACTTTGTTCATTTAAGTCAAACTTTTAGAAAATATTTTGTGATTTTTTTTAAACAAAACAAGTGAAAAAAACTAATAATTTCATTAATTTTTTAGCAGATTGTAGTGTTTCAGGTAAGACTGTCGCTTTTGTAAATAAAATATAAAAAAGTCGATTTTTTTACTAAGATAAGACAGAAATTAAAAAAAATTGCGAAAACAAATTGCCCAAATTTATATTAAAATTCCTTATTTTTATTTATTTTTACAAATTTAAAGCTCTTTTATTAAAAAAACTGACTAAATTGGTGA